ACATGCCAAATTCACAACAGAAATATAATAATATGGAAAACCAAAACAGTATGTTCCCACCAAACACCACAAGTCCTGTAGAAGAGTTCTACAAGGAGAATCCCCTAGAGATAACCCAGGACACTGAATTTAAAAGAACAATCAAACATGATCAAGGAATTCAGTGAATTTAAAGAACACTTGAACAAATCAAAGAGCTAAAAGAAGATAGGGATAAACTTCTGAATGAATTCACAAAAGAGAAACATTGAAGAAAATTCAGACAGAAATGAAGTGCAAAACCCAATACCAACTTGAAACAACAGGGGAGAAAGCCTCACCTCTGGAATGAATGAAATGGAAAACAGAATGTCAACACTGGAGGATAAAGTTGAAGAATTGGATCACTCAAGCAAAGAGTATGAAAAATTAAAAAAAAACCCAGGAATGGAATATGCAAGTGATGTGTGACACTATGAAAAGACCAAATCTATGGATCATAGCAATAGAGGAAGGAGAAGAATTTCAGGTTAATGGTGTTGACCAGATCTTAGTGATTTTCTTTGTATTTTTCTGTTCTTGGACTTTTCTGTTAAACAGTGTTGGATATTGTACCACATACTTTGATACTTTGGGTTTTTTTTTCCTCTTTGAATGTCTACATGGTACTGCTTCTGTTCCCTATTTTTCCCTTTTCTGGTGACCCATGGATACCATCTTTTAAGTATGAGCTACTAAGAGTCTAATTGGACATTTCATGTATTTTGATGGTGCTGACAGGTAGTAGGGTTTCTTGTAGGTAGGTTGAACAAGTTGACTCTAAACTTTTTGGTTTAGACCCTTTGACTTTTACTGTTATAATTTCTCTTACTATGTTATGCTGCTTCTCTCCCAGTTCAAAAAAGTTTTCTAATTATCTGTTTTTAGAAGGTGACCAGAGGAGTCCCATTTTTACTTGATAGACTTGATATTTGTTTTTTGTTTCTTACCTTAACCTACCCTTTGGAAGACTATAGCCTTGCTGGATTAGTCTTTGCAGGAAACGAGTGTTTAGTGTCTTACTAGGATTGGTGAAGGGTTCTTATTACTTTGTATAGTTTTTCTTCCTCTTGTGGAACAAAAAAATCTCTTATAGGTCGTCTTTGACATAAATTATGTAGACTTTGAGAAGAACCTCAGAATCTTACAAATTGGTAGGTGATATAGATTGCTTCTCTCATTTCTTCAGGTCTGTAAGATCCTACATCCTAGGTATCAGGTTGTTAGATGATAGCTTATACCTTTTTATGAATTAGGTTGTGAATAAATATAAGAATCTGTGAGCTTTTATTTAGTTTGTCTGTTGAGTGGTTTATTATTTGTTAGAGTAGTGGCGATAAAAGATTGGTATGGCCGAGCATGTGGTGCACTACCTTTAATCCCAGCACTCGGGAGGCAAAGGCATGCGGATCTGTGGAAGAGTAAGGCCAGCCAGCCTGGTCTACAAAGTGAGTTCCAGGCCAAGTGGGGCAACAGGGAGACCTTGTCTCAAAAAACAAAAACAAAAACGAAAAATTTGTTATTAGGTAAACAAATAGAAAATTAACATGCATATATATTGAAAGTATTTGAATGTAATTTAGATTCTAAATTATTATGGTTTTGTAAACAATAGTAGGACTTAAGACATTTTTAAACTTTCAGGACTAACTTTGCAAATGAAACAAATAATCTGATAGCTAATTGTTTTAAGTAGCAGATAATACCTACCAAAAACTTACGTCTTTAAACTATAGTAATTTATCTTTTAAAATTATTACAGGTAGAAGAATACATGTTCACCTTCAGTAAACAAGAGCATGTTCCCAAACTCAATTTTGGGTCGTCCGCCCTTCACTCCAAACCACCAACAGCATAATAGCTTCTTTGCCCTCTCACCAGCTCTTTATTCACACCAGCAACTTATTGATGCGCACTTCAACTTTCAGAATGCAGAGTGAGTATGATGTTATATTGGACCATGTCATTAAGTTTTGTTTTCTCGTTGACATAATCTTTTTGTGTGCAACATTTGAAGCTACAAAAATGTTTTTATTTTCTCTTGATCAGTATTTAGTTTTTGTGAAAATTTTGGGTTTAAGGAAAAATATGTATATTATTATTGTTCTTTGTTTTTGATAGCTTGTCTAGAGCTGTGTCCTTACAGCAGCTGACATACGGAAATATCAGTCCAATACAGACCTCAGCATCCCCGTTATTTCGAGGAAGGAAGTAAGTATTTTTCAGATATTTAAGAATTTATTTATCTTTTATGTGTACTAATGTTTTCCCTGGTGTCTGTAAGTGTATCCATGTGTACGATGTCCATGGAGTCCAGAAGAGGGTATCGGATCCCTTTAACTAGAGTTCTAGAGTTATAGATGGTCATTAGCCACCATGTGGGTTCTAGGGACCAAACTCTGGTCCCCTGCAAGAACAGCCAGTGCTCTTGATCTCTGAGCCATCTCTCTAGACCTCTTTTTAAGTATTTAAAAGAAATTGTTGCAGCCCTAAGAACTGTGTAACAGTTGTATAAAATTATATGGGCATTTTAGCCCAGATTTTGTTTCTGGGACCTGTGAAATCAGATGAGTAAAATAATTAAAAAAATTTTGGGTGTTCAAAAATTTTAGTAAGTCTTATATTGATTTATTCCTGCCATTGTAAGTTTTAGATGGAATAAAGCTTGCTTTCTTCAGAAATCAACATTCTAATTGAGAGTATTAGCCTTCTGCAAATCAGATGGCCATCTGCAAGTATTTGCTAGGGTTGCTAGCAGAATACTGCAAACTGATACTGGGTGGCAGAAAGAATGGCTTTAAAAAAATTTTTCCCCCTCTGTTCTTTCTCAAGGCTCAAAGTCCAGATCATGCTGTCAGCAAGGCTGTTTCCTTTGAGGCCTCTCCTTGGCATACAGTTAACCATTTTCTTATTGTGCTCTCTGTATTCTTCCCTTTGCCTTCGCTGTGGTGTGATTTCTTCAGGACACTCATTGTATAAGATTAGGGTCCATCCTAAGGACCCCATTTAAACTTATTCTTTTAAAGACTATCTCACAATATGGGTATATTCTAAAACACCAGGGCTTTGAATTTTAGCCTTTGAATTTCAGGAGGACAGTTCCTGATTTTTTTTCTAATATAGTGTGCTGTATGTTTTTTCTTTTGATTTATGTAAATTTTATACAGATAAGACTCCTTGATAAATATTATAGTGAAAAAATTTCACATGACAAAGATTTCTGTAGTCATATCACGAGCCAATTAATTTTATTACAAAATTAATTTATTAGAAGATAGTAATATAACTTGGGAGGTATTTTTTAAAATAACATTTGACAATAGTTTTAAGATAATAGTATTGTTTTAAAGCTATCTGATCATTTTATAACTTTTATGTCTAGCTAAAAGTAGTAGAGCCAGCAGTGGTGGAGCCAGTGTACCATGGTGGTGCACACCTTTAATCCCAGTACTTGGGAGGCAGAGGCAGATGGATCTCTGTGAGATTGAGGCCACCCTGGTTTGCACCTCAAGTTCCAGGCCAGCTGGGGCTACAGGGTGCTGCCTCAAAGCATAACAAAACACAAACAAAAAAGGTAGCAAGTAGTAGTAATTCAGAATATAGTAGGCATAATTTTGAAAGAGATGCACCTTAGCTCTGGAAATTTTTATTGAATATGTCAGTGCTGTTATAATGAAATGCTGCCGCTTATGTGGTTATTAAATAAATAATTAAAAAATGGAATGCACTTAGAAGAGAAAGTACTTACAGTTACAACCTTTCTAAAACATATGTTCTGCACAAAAAGGAAAGATGGGGAGTCCCTTTCCTTATTTTTAATAAGGAGAATTAAATATCTTGTTTATAAATTTGTATTTATCCTTATCAATTCTAGATTCTGCCTCACAGAGCTCTAGTTTTCTATGCTTTCATCTGGGAGAATAGTGCCTTTAAAGCACCAGAATCTCCCCTTATTTCAACGTCAGAAGGATGTCAATGATGTATAAAAGCATCAAGAGAACATCAGTACAGCTTACTGTTTTTAGCTGTTAAAAAAAAAAAGAAAACCAGATGGTTTTATGATGAAAATGAAGAGAATAAAGTCCATCATCCTTTCCCATTGTGCCACATACCTAGATGTCTGTAACAAACTGGAATCAAGACCGAGCCAGGCTTCCAGATATTTGACATCATTTCATGCTTCGTTTGATTTTAAATTCCTTACTATCAATTTAGAATCTTTTCCAAGTAGATTTGTGTCAACTGAAGCTCCCAGAAAAAAAAGTAGAACCCACACTGAGCATACTACAGACTGATGAAGTATTAAGACTTCAGTGGCTGTGGAGTAGTTGGAGTGTGGCAGATCCTGTTAACTTGTCTTGTACTTCTTTGTCCCTAAATAGTCATTTACTGACCATCTGTATGTGTGACCTAACATCTTTGTGACTATTATGTAGATCCTTTTGAAAAATAAGAAGAGTTTTCTAGCTTCTACCAAAACAAAAGCTAAGAATGTCATCAGCTTGCATCTAAGATCTTCAGCGTTGATTTCCCTGCTTTGCTCCAACCTAACTACCAGTGTATTTGAAAAGCATTTTGATTTGTGATTTTCTTTGTTCTGTTACAACAGACACTTCCTTAAATGGTTATAGATTGGGATTGGAATTTGTGGTAAACTAAATCTGTGTCCCTGAGCTATAGATACTTCTATTTGGCCCCAGAATAAACTATTTCTTACTTTCTTTGGGGAAAAAAAATTATATACATATATATATATGTGTATATATATGTATATATATGGCATTAGTCTAAGAACTTTACAAATGATTTCATTAACTTTCACTGTTATCTTTCCTGTTTACAAGAAAGTTAAAGGACACAGAAGTTATTCAAGTAGAAATGGCATAGCTGGTATTTGAAATCCAGCAGTCTGCTCTAAAATCAAACTTGTAAGTTCTTCTGAATTGTCAAAGGGAAAGTTTACACAATGACTCTAAAAGTATAGACTTCATTCAGATTTACTTATTTTCTGAAATTGCCAGTGAACTGTGTGAGTGAACATGAGTTCCATTAGTTCATAGTTAAAAGATTTTTTAAAATCAGTGGATGGACTTGCAATGGGGAACAACTGGGGGCACCGATAACACAGTGGGCAATAACAGGGATGACAGTATATGGGCTCCAGTGTGTGGGGGGTGCTATGGAAAGGTGTCAGTGGGGATGGGGTTATAAAGATGATTAAGATTGTTTGAGATGTTCTTTATGAAATACACACACACACACACACACAATTAAGTTAGCATTTTCAATTGAAGATACTGAGAATAGAGCTATAAAAGTTCAATAGGGAGCTAATAATGTAACCTTATTGAAAGAGTCATAATATTGTCATTATTTCTGATGGCAGAAAGTTGTGTCTTTAATCACTAAGGTATATTTGCTTGTTTTCAGGAGACTAAGCGATGAAAAAACCTTTCCTCTTGATGGTAAACGGCAGCGTTTCCATTCACCCCACCAAGAGCCAACTATAGTAAACCAGATAGTGCCTTTCTCTGGGGAACGGAGATACTCGATGCCACCATTGTTTCACACGCACTATGTACCAGATGTAGTCAGATGTGTTCCACCTCTTCGGGAAATACCATTTTTGGAACCTAGAGAAATCACACTGCCTGAGGCCAAAGATAAGGTAATTATGATGCAGATTTTTATTTTGCCTTTTGGAAATTTGATGTATTTTAAATGGATCAGGAATACCTAATGTCCTACATTAATTAGAATATGCCTTTTTTTAAAGTACTATTGTTTGTTTAAAGTACTATTCGACCCAGTTTTCTAAATACCATTTTGATCTGTCAGAGAAATCATTTTTTTTCTGATTTATAGAAATTTGGGAATAGACCCTAAAACATTTGACTTCTTAGTTGCTAGAGATGTATGTCACTGTCTTCAGCTGTACTTAGTGAAAAGTTAAGAAAAGCAAGGTCATTAGAAGTGATTATAATGTCCATCATCCTTTTCTGTAGTTGGGATGCACTCTGGGATTTCCTTTCCCTCTCTCCTTCCCTTGCTACCTTTCTTCTACAGTGTCTTGCTATGTCGCTCAGGCTGGCCTTAGAGTAAATATTACCCTTTCACATATACAAATCAGTGGATTTTAATAAGTTCACAAATTGTACAATCATCTATTTCCAAGACATTTTCATCACTCCCAGAGAAACCTTGTACTTAATAGTACTCACTAGTAATTGTTCCCCCTTTTCTCTACTTCCTAAAACTGAATCATTCAATGTATGGCCATTTGTTTCTAGCTTCTGTCATTTAGCATAATGTTTTAAAGGTTTATCCATGTTTGTAGGTTACAGTATGTTTATTTGTTGGTTTGGTTTTTTGAGACAGGGTCTTACAGTCTAGTTTAGGCCGGCGTTGATCTACTGTCCTCTTGCCTCAGCTTACTGAATGCTAGAACTGCATTTCTTTTTACATTTGAATAATATTTCATTGTGTAGATATATACCATGTTTTGCTAGTATATTCCTCATTGATGGACTTGTAGGTTTTTTTTTTTTTAGTCTGATGGTTATGAATAATGGCTCTGTGAATGTCGATGTATGAGATTTTGCCTGATGGGGTGAATTTATTGGGTGATATGGCAAAATATATTCAACTTCTTGAGGAACTGTTAGTATTTTGTAAAGTGGCTGTATTGTTTTATAGTCTCAGTGACAGTGAACAAGTGTTCCACTTTCTTCACATCCTTGTCAACACTTGTGACATTATTTTTTAGTTATTTAATTCCTTGCAATGCTAGTGATGGAACCCAGGGCTTTAAACATGCTAGGCAAGCACTCTACCACTGCCAAGCTTCCTTCTAGTCTTGTCTCTTTGTATTATAGCCGTGTGAGAGGGTATGAGAGGGTATCTCATCATGATTTCAGTTTATGTTCCCTAATGACTAATGATACGGAATATCTTATCATTTGCTTTTGGACATTTGTGTGTTCCTTTGAAGTGTGTATTCAGATATTTTGTCCAGTTTTTAATTGGATTGTCTTTATTTTGCAGAGTTTTAAGGGTTATTTTTACATAATTTGAGTATTAAATCCAGGATATATGATTTGCAAATGTTTTTCCTTTTCTGTGATTTATATTTTAAAATAAAAAAAATTAATGTGTATGAATGTGTGTACATGCACCCATGTCATGCAGTGCCTGCGGAGGACTTAGAAGAGGATGTCAGAGCCCCTGGAACTGGAGTTACGAACGGTTGTTAGCTGCCATGTGGATGCTGGGATTGAACCTAGGTCTTTTCTAAGAACAGCCAGTGCTCTTAACTGCTGAGCCATTTCTCTAGCTTCTTTAAATTTCTTATTTGTGCCCTTTAAAGCATAAAACATTTTCATATTGATGTAGTCTTATCTGTTTCACTTTGGTTGCATTTGCTGTAAGTATTGAATCAGTTCAGGGTTTGATGGATGCCTATATAAGATTTTTTTTTTCTTAAGACTAGGTCTCACTATGTAGCTCTGGTTCGCTTTGAACTCTATGTAAATCAGGCTGACCTTGAACTCACAGAGATCCATCTGCCTCTGCCTCTTGAGTACTGGGATGTGTTCTAAAGCTTTTATACTTTTAGTTCTTACATTTAGGACTTTGATCATTCTTGAACTAATTTATGTATATGATAGGAAATAGGGATCTAAGTTTATTCTTTTGCTGTTGGTTCACTTGTCCTAGCATTATTTATTGAAAAGACTCTTTCCCTTCTGTGCAATGTTTTCTTTATCATGAAATAGGAACAGTTAGACAAAACCAGTGGGAGAGAGGAAACAGCAAAGTAAAATGAGAAGAGAACAACATGGGGTGTTCTGGCATTCCTTCTTCCTCCTCCCTCCATTCTTCCCTTCTTTGCTTTCTTAGTTTAAGTCTTGTGAGGTTGTAATGTGAAAGCCTGTGGTATAAAGCAAAGGTAAATTCTCAATGAATATACACACACTGCTATATGTGAGGTTTTAATATGTGTGCACTAGTAGTAGGGCATTTTTAAAACAGGGCTTATTATGCACAGATATTGAAATTTCTCTATATTTTTGCATATGTTTATATGTTTGTAGTTAACTAATGGAGCTAGCCAGATAACTTAGTTTCTACATATGGCCTAGACATGAGTTGAATCTTGGTGTAAATTTAATAATATAATACAAATAATATAATATAAATTTAATAATTTAATAATAGTATCAGTCATCTGGTAAGATGTGATTTCATATATCAGTAACTTTTTCTTTGCCTAATCATATAGAAAAAAATTCTCCTAAATGTAATACTTTTGGAATGAGGCATTTACCCTAGAGAAGTAAAGATAGACCTTGCAGTTGAATCTGTTTCTTTGAGGGATACTTTATTTCTGCCTGTTGTTACGAGAAAAGGAAGGCAAGAACTTCTCTTCATTCTTTAAGTGAATATTTTATGTGTGTGTATGTGTGTGTGTGTGTGTGTGTGTGTGTGTGTGTGTGTGTAATAGGATCTTATTATGTCACCCATATGAACTCATGATCGTCTTGCCTCCACTTTCTGAATGCTCAGATTATAGGTGCCACTATGCCTGGCTGAAGCACACTCTTTAAAAAAAAAAAACAAACAACTACTGTTAATTGATATCTCTGGTCATTAGGCATTCTATTCATGTTATTCATTGAACAACCCCATGACATGGATATTATCCTAAAAGTTATTGAGGCTCAAAAATTAAATAACTTGTTCAACATCACATCTACAAATGGCAAAATCAAGATTTGACCCTTGTTTCTTAAAATGCAGAGAGGAGGAACTTAATGTGCATATATTCAAAAATAGGGAGATCCCATTGTAAGAACTAGCTATAACATCAGTGATCCCTGACAGTAATAGTTAATAGTTATTGAATGTCTGTCTCTGTCAGAAATGTGATCAATAGTTATGTGTTACCTCTGTAGAACATATAGTGACAAGAGTGAGATAAATAAGCAGTGGTTTGGGGCCTTGAATACATAGCAGAATGTCACTAAAGGAAATAGCACAATGGCATTTGTATTTTGGGGCAGATAGTTTTTGCAGTATATGGTATTTGGTTTAGACTGAAGTAGGTAGCCTTGAAGATGGATGATCATCTTAGAGGTTCTTAATGCGTCTGGATGAAAGGTGCTGCAGCTTTCAGTTCTGATAGATGGTAGTGAAAATGATACGAGAGATGGTACATAGGAAGGTTGATAGAATGTGGGAATAGTTGAATATAGGGGAGGCAGAGAAAAAGAAACATAAGTGACTGCAGTGGCATGGTTCTAGGCCACCAGAGAGATAAGTAACCAAAATTTGGGGTATGTGAGTTGATGGAGAAAATAGTTAAGAGGTACTTGGAACAGTAGAAAAATCTGTGTTCTTGAGAAACTTCATTCTGCAAATTGCACACCAAGTGTATATGGCTTTTAGGAAATAGTGCTGGGGCAGATGACTCAAAAATAATTCTGTAGTCAAAACATTATCAAGAATAATAATTGGTATCTTGGAAAATAACTTGGGAAGACCAGGCAGACAGCTAAGCATGGCTGGATGCTCTTGCAGAACATATTAAAGATATTCAAAATAGAGTTGGGATGGTGACTTGTGGTGGACACCAAGACAAGGCAATAAACGCCTCTGAGTCAGGTGGCAGCTGAGGTAGAAGAAAAGGAAGTGCACCAGCGGTGAGCTGTGCAAAGCTAAGAATATACTTTTTTGAGCCGTTATCTTCAACGCAAATACTTAATTTTTTTTAGTTGACTTGGGTCTGTAAGGACTCTGATTTGTGCAGTAGCCATGCTGAGGTGAATGTTACACAGTTTTGTACCGTATACAAATCACCTACAAAACTTCATGTTATATTGATACCATTTCCTATTTTCCAGTCATGAAGGCTTATTGATATTATAGAAAAGCATTTTATTACCAAATTGGTAATATATGTTTGGAGTTCAGAAGTAAGTTAGAACCAGAGATATATACCCGAAGACATCTGCATTCACTGTAGCATTTGAAACTCCTGGAATAGAGTTAATTTTCAATTTTAGTATCCAGTAAGGTATTCACGAGTGCTACGCATTGGAGATACTGTATTTTGCACACATGTGTTACAGTACATAGACTTTTACCATTTACGTATAGATTAAATAGGTCATTAAAAGTAATCATTCAGCCTGTTGTGGTGGCACATACCTTTAATCCCAGCACTCCGGAGGCAGAAGCAGGTAGATCTCTGTGAGTTCAGGGCCAGCCTTGTCTACAGAGTGAGTTCCAGGCCAACTGGGGCTACAGTGAGACCCTGTCTCAAAAGACCCAAGAAAATAAAAAATAAAATAATCAATCAATAAATAAATTCTATTTTTCAGCAACTGTGACTGACATTTGAAGAGGAAGACAAAGATAAAGGATGTAAGCAAACAAAATGGAGAACGTCATATGATAATCTCAGAAAACCTGAACTGAAAGTTATAATAACTTAATAGAACAGCAAGGCGACTGTCTGGGTCAGATGCCTCATACCCCCCAATCTTTAGTTTGAGGCACACACTGTTGGTTATTGTCACTTACTTCTCTGCAGCCATGTTCCACAGTAATATAAGTAATATAGCAGTAATATAAGTCCTATGATAAATAAATCAGTGAACACCAACT